TTTTATCAATATTAAGTACTGTAAAATTATGTATAATTAAATATTAATTAAGAGGTTAAAATAAATTATTATTAATATTATTAAAAACAGTTTTATAGCCAAATCTATAATACCTAGTAATAATGATTCAATCATCATTAGCTGTAAAATTAATCGACGGTATTCACCATACTCACTACACAGGTATTCCTATAAATCCCATTTCCTTACTAATTATCTTCCTGCTTAAAATAGACGGCATTGTCGATATTACGATAGCATAATAGTAACATAAATGATCCTTTATCGATATATTATAGTAATATTTAGCAATATTAGCCTAGGTATAGGAATAGGAAACTTTAATACATTTCATCCAAATATTTCTAGTTTAATAAAATAAAAAAACGTACTATCCGTTAGGGGCCCACTATTGTTTGATATCCGTTGCTGCCTGTGGGCCCGGGGCCATGGCCCCCTCTACCCCCCCCCCTTAGACCGGGCTTGTGGCTTCGATTATTTTTTTGTGTAGAATAAAAAACGGAAATGATTTTTTGTAAATATTTCCGTTTTTCTTAAATGGCGCAATTACTGCTTGGGGGGAGGCTGTAGATCACTCAGGCTAATAATCTGCAGGGGCCTCGGTAGGCACGTCACCAAGGGCGTCACTAGGTCTGGCCTTCTCAATTTTATTTTTAAATATTTTAAATGTTATGACGTTTAATTGTTCTGAATCCCAGATCTATATTATAGGTATTACTCTGTATAATTAAAAATCGTACATTTTAATTAAATTCCAAGTACATATTTTAAAAATATTCGTCACCTGACAATTTGAGATAGGTAACACATTTAATAATAGATTGAAAACTAGAAAACATTGCTTAAGAAGATGCTGTAGGGCATGACAAATTATATAAGTACGTCAGCAACTCGTGTTGCGCATGTCTGTGAGTAACCATTTTTCCAACAATTCGAGTGGTGGATTGGCGGTGGTTATTGTGTCCGCGGTGGACCAATGAAAAACGGACAAATGCTGCTTACCCACAGAGTGGGTGGGCAATTTGTTTCAAAACTGGTATAGTACTGACGTCTGACATACCTATATAATTTGGCATGCTATTGGGTATATACACGAAGCGTGGTCTCGGTATGACAAATGTACAATAGATCAAAGCCTGTCTTGCGCAGGATACAGATTGAATCAGGCTGTAGTGATAGTTATGAGGACGCCTCACGCGCATGGCAGCATAATAATATTATATAATATAATATAATAATATTATGTTGTCTTCGTCTTACAAATGCGTAACATAGCAAATTGTACGCTCAGCAAACCACGTGTGTAGCTCCGTTAGTTCAAAAATTAGAGTGAATTGAAACTGAATCTCATAACATTTAGTCAAACCAACATTTTTTTTTGAAAATTTAATACAAGGATCCTAATATATTTTTACAATGGAAGTTGAAAAATATTAAAAACCCGTAGTCACATTTTTTTATAAGCATTTCAAGTTCGAATTTTCAAAAAACCTAACTTACAAAATGTAGAAATTGTTATAAATTCATAAACATTTTTGTTTATATAGGTAAATTTAAGATTTATAAATGTAATAAGTAAAAGATTCCTCATATGAATATCATCAATATTTAATGCGGTATTGCTGTCTTACCGTTATGGCATAATATGGTCAGTATTATTATGTTTATCGTTATTGACGTTATTATGGTGTACGCATGGTTCAAATGTGTTTCAACCATGGGTGTACGTGTACAGGTATTACGGCTGTAATACGATTGAGAACGTTCGACCTTTTTTAGCGTACGATTGAGATCACTCGAAATGGAACAATGAAATAACCGCTGACCCAATAAAACAGTACTATTGAGAACGAAATTATTAGCAACGTTGCCGAACTATATTCAAGTCAAAATAAAAATGAATAAAACATTGAATAAAATAATTAAAAATTATAAATTTTAAAAATGTCATAATTTTTAAAAAAAATTGTATTATTGGTAGGTACCAATAATACGAACATTTAAAAATAATTTACAATTTAATTTCCCTATATAAATTTCCCATATGTGTTAAATATTTTACTAATCCTTCAGAAGATTTTTTTTGACAGTAGTTAATATAAGACTGTATTGTTTTTGAAATTTTTTCTTCATCGGCTTTTGATGCCTTTTGAACAGTACCCTGTTGAATAGTATTGAGTTTTAAAGACGTTTATTCCTGCTACATAGTGTGTGAGCAGTGCTAAGAGTCATACATATTTATATAGGCTATAGCCATAGCCGATTATTATATGGCAAAGTTTGGCAACGTTGGGCGGAAAAATAAAAACTGAGCGTTCTCAATCGTAATAGTCAAAAGGGTCTAAGAAAGGTATCGCCAATAATGACCGTTCTCAATCGTATTCCTGCCGGTATTACAGTATAGGTACCGCAGACAATAGGTGTGTTTTGGCGGTGTAACCGGCGCTAACCGCTAGTAAACTGTTCACTGGTATCGTTTTCGCGATTACGGTAACTGTAACCAGGTAACTAATTTCGTGAACGAGTTTAGTGAATTTTGTAACCGTCGATTTCGACTTGGTAAGAAGGTTTACTGAAGTTCGGTTACTAAAAAGTTTATGATATCAAATGTTATAAAATATTTCAGTACCTAAACAAAATGTTCAAGCAATTGTTTTGACGTTCCAGTAAACGTTTTCTAACCGTAGGTATTCCATAACCATAAACTTATTTACTAAACAGTTTACTCCGCCAAAACACGCCTAATAATTATTACGGTATTCCGATATGTATCTGTCTTACGCTATTCCAGTAAGGACCTATAGTATAGACCTGCAAGGGCCGTACATTTTCGGCACAGTCCGGTTCATCAATTGTATCCACAAGTACGGCCCGATCCAAAACATTTTGTGAAAAAAAATCTCAGTCCGGAAATCCGAAATAATGCTAAGCTTATAAAAAGCCCGATCCGGCCCAACAAATATTTTCATAAGCCCGGCCCGACCAGTTCCAAAACACTGAAAAAAAAAACCCGGGCCCGGATAATGCAGCAGATAGCTAAATATTATTTTCGTAGTATGTTGTTGTTTTATTTTGTATTGACATAATTGTATTATTATGGTATATAAATAGTTTTTTATACCCACTAATCAAGATATTGTTATATTCATTGTGATTGTATCTAGGTATTTGTGCTAACGTCGGTTCTATCATTGTTATTTATTATTTTAAATTATGATTATCTATTGTCGAAGAAAAATCCTTTAAAAGCCCGGTTCAATGTCACTAAGGACCGGGCTTTTTGAGGACCGAGTAAGACCGGCCCAGCCCTTGCAGCTCTTTAGTACCTACTACCTAGTACTTACCTATCACAGAGATTGCACACTTCATATCACTTAATATTAAATTATTATTATAATTTTTATTTTTTGTTGTCTCTATTTTATAAACCATAAATCATAATGAAACTTTATGAAATGTTTACAGGATATTCAATTGTATTGGTAAACAAATAGATGGTCCTATATATACTGATAAGGAATTATATTATACAGTACTAAAATTGGAGAATAAAATATTTTATGACGAACTTGATGAAGGTGAAGAAGGATGTAAAATAATAGGAGTGGAAAAGCGAACAAATGGTAAACTCAAATATCTAATTAAATGGAAAATCAACCACTTTCCAGAACTTCATTACTTAATTGATTCATCCGTCCTGAGAGCAAAATATCCTGAGATGATCATCGAGTTCTATGAAAAAATAATTACATGGAATTAAAAAATTAATCGACGAGATTTAGAACAGAACTATATAATTATTTCTAAAATTAAATCACCTAGGCGTATTATGATTTTTTTATGGACTACCTATCTTACCAATTGACAACTTTATCTATTATTATTTTTAGTTATGTATTCTTATACAACGTTATAACCATTTACATTGAACTCAAGTTATGTATTAAGTTATTAGTTTTTGTAAAGCTTTTTTTTTATTTAATAATATGGTGATGTTTAAACATATAAGGTATTTTATATTTAATTTGTCAATGATCATTCATTTTTTCCCTTAGTCATTGAGTAAGAAAAATATATTTTTGTAAAAAGATAAATTAAGTATTAGCTCTGATTTAACATAACTAGCTGTTCTATTATTATAGCCAATTTAAATGTATATAATTTTTTCTTCTCAATAAAATGTATTGAAATAAACTTGACATAATATAAGGTATTTTATATTTAATTTGTCAATGATCATTCATTTTTTTCCCTTAGTCACTGAGTTGATGAAAAATATATTGTAGTAAAAAGATAAATTAAGAATTAGCTCTGATTTAACATAACTAGCTGTTCTATTATTATAGCCAATTTAAATGTATATAATTTTTTCTTCTCAATAAAATGTATTGAAATAAACTTGACGACAACTATAGATGTGCAAATTACTACAAACTGCTGAACTACTTTACAGGAAACCCTTCTTTAATTTAAGTAGTACAAAATACCAGTATTACAAAGTGGAATTATATTATCATTGGATGGTTTCAGTTATAATCTTTTTTTTTTTTGTTTAAACCATTGTCAAAATTATATTTTTATAAATTGTTCATAATAGTAAGTTAAGTGCTAATATAAATTTGCTATGTTGTACATTCGTAAGATAGAGACAGCATATGTGGGTGAAACATCCTCAAACACATTTTTTTTCAAAATTGAAGTAGGTAAAAGTAGGGGTTTTCAGAACAAAGATGTTTAAAAAAATATGTAATTTATTGGTTTTCAATGTGGTTTAAAAATTAATTATAGTATAATGAAATAAATCAATTAACAAAAATAAATAAGTCATTACAAGTATTACACTAAGACATATGACATAAAAATGTTTTAAATTTACTATTATAATACAAAATAAATAATTCTGTACAATTTACACACACAGATTAGTATCTAAATTACCTATACAAAAAAACATGCAGTAGTTGTAACGTTGTTTACAACTAATCAAGTAGGATTAATTCAGGTTTGGATTTTTTATTAACATTTTTTTCAGATTTTGTAATAGTCAAACTATTACTGAGGTGCTGAAACTTTTCAAAATTAAAATTTTGTGTGATTGTTGGGATGTTTTGAACATGACGTGATGCCAATGATGTTTCATTTGCCTTGCGGTTATCATTTGCGTTCACGACCGGCGTTATACTTAAACCTGGGCAAGAAGATAGAAACATGGCAGGATTCAACGAGACAGTAGCAGTTTTTTTAATTTCTGGACTTTTATTCTGGAGAATTGTAGATTTTAAACGAGCCTGTTCAGCAGCAGAATCTAGGTCTATGTATACTGATTTTGGATTACGTGAGTTTGTTGGCTTCATCATTATGGTCGGTTTTGACTTGTCCACAGTTAAAAGTGTAGAGGACATTGCTTGTTTGACAGCTTTCTGTTTGATTGAAGACAAATTGTTGGGCTTTTGTTTTTGTGACTGGCCTATGTTATTAGGTAGTTTGTTGATTTCTACAATTGAATCCAAGTTGTGTGATGGTTTTAATTCATTCTGTGCATTGTGTGAAATATTCAAGGTTTTACATAGTTCCAAATGATTAGTTTTTGTCTTTTTTGTAGGTTTATTGTTGGATAACTTAGAATTTCGCACAATTTTTGATTCAATACTGACTTTAATACTAGAACTTTTTTTTTGTTTACCATTTGGCAGTCTATGGACATCTGATTTGTCAGTTTTGGACCGTTTTGATTCCGCTTTTGGCTTATTATTGTTTTTTTTTAGTTTCTGTTTCGTTGCTTGCAACTTTTGCTGTAATGTGTAATTATAACTTGTCTCTTGTGACATTGGGAACAATGGGGATTGTGTATAGGGAGCAAACATAGACATTATTTGATTGGATAACTGAGTATTCATTGGAAGCGGATGTGAGACTTGTGGGGAATAAAGCCGTTTTTGGTTTTCAAGTGACATCTGAGTTGACAAAGCTTGCGAAGAATTCAATATACTAGTAGATTTAGAATTGGCAACTGGCGATGTAATATTCTAAAAAAAAACATTATTCAGTTATTAAAAAATGTTAAGAATAGATAAACCAAAACCAATGTAAGCTGTAATTGCTTAAGCCACTATAGCTAGTTTACAATAAGAAGAAATGGTATAGAAGCATTTTTAACAAAATGCTGAGTTATAATTTAAAAAAAATGAAAAGATACACAATCTCTTTAATAGGTGTGACCCAGATTATAATTTTAAAAAAATAATTAACTACTTTTCAATTGAATTGAGTTAATATTTTTCTCCATATTAACATTATATTGGTAAACTGGGCATAAACTCTACAAATATCTTGCATAAAAAATAATTGTCCACAATTTAATTAACTAACAAATATATGAATAAACTCATATTGGAATTTTAAGTATGAAAACCTATATATTATATTAATATAGTTATAAAGTTATATTTAATTAATTTGTTTACAGTTAGATATCAACATTTATTATATACAGTTTCAATTAAAAATTATTAACATTTGCTTTCGGTTTATTCAATTGTTTCTGGATTTGTATTTATATACTTACATTTTCATTATTTGCAATATTGCTTTTGTACTCAATTTCTTTTTCCTTTGTTTGAAGCTTTTGACAATACTTTATTATGATATCATTAGATACATCGTCCTATAATATTAAGACAAAAAACATTAATTTCAACTAATATAAATCAATTCTTATTATTAATAAAGAATACTGTATTCTAAAATTCCTACTAGGGTACAGTTTTAAAAACCTCTTCTTAGCCCGGGGTACTTTCAGCACACGTTCATTGAGAGTGGTAATTATAGCGGACGACAATTAAGAGCACACAGCATCTTAGCACAACAAATATTAGATTTAAAATATATTTCTATCTAATCGAAAGAATTTCCATGTTATCGGTGCAGCAGTAGTAGTTATTACCTATTAGTACCTAAATAATCAAGATAACCTTATATAGGTAACTAGTATAAAATAATTTAAAGCAAATTCAATTGTGGTTGGTATACAAAGTCTTTCAACATAATCCTATAGAACTATATCATAATATATAAATCATATTTTTTGAAACAAGTGATTGTCTTTACAATATATTATAAGGCAATGAGAAAAACAATAATTAGTATACAACAATTCTAGTCATAGCACAAAATATAATAGACAGGACAGATAAATAATTTGGAGGTGCAATGAAAATCAAAATTTCCCAGGACGAATACATTTATCAGTGGCGCCAATCTATATTTCATGTTATGGAGAAAATTTTAGGTGTTAGACCCATCTACTTAAAAAAAATGGTAAGTTATTCACGAATAGTGCATTATAATCGCGATATACTGCCTGGTGACCTGCCGTAGTCATACTATAATTGCCTATTCTTTACAGTTACCATTATTGTTAAATTATGATGATGTTTAAATATTAAATACCTCTAATGACTGATCACTTATTATTTTATTTTATTTTTAACGTATTAATTTGGTATTTTTTTTATATTTGTTATGTTTACCTAGTTCTGTATATTTTATTAAACATGACTTGTCTTACGCATTAATGTTGTATGCGCTGAAATGTCATCGCTGAATTGTGGTGAGCTAAAATGTTGTGGTTTCCTCTCTTTCAACATTATGAGGTTGGTCACCCTAAGATACCTTTACAGGGCTCAGTTAGTCCATCTATCCTTTGCTCACATCAGCTAATTCCATGTCAACCTCTATTCTATCTATCCACCTCTTCTTTAATCTTCCTCTCCTTGTCTTTCCATAAACATATATTTCCATAGCTCAACTGTCTTTGAGTCACCTCTCTTCATTATGTTACCAAATCATCTAAACCTATTCTTTTCAACTTATTCCTCATTTTTTTTTTAACAATTGTTGTCACTCCTAGACTACCCTTAATGAATTTATTTCTTATTCTATCCTCCCTAGTCACTACACAAATCCATCTTACCATTCTCATCTCCATAACGTTTTAATGTCTACTATCCAACATTCTGAATTCAATATAACATAAAACATTACTGTATTCACAACAGTTTTAAAAATCTATCTTTTAATCTCTTGTCACTCACAATACCCAACTCTTCTTCAGTTTGTACTAGTTTATTCATACACATATAATTCTATTTCTGACCTCATCCTCAATACCACCATTATTTTGTACTACTGACCCTAAGAACTTATTATATCATACACTACATGCCTTACCCCATACATTTCTTGATTAATTACTCCAAAATCATACACAATTGCCTTGGGTATACTCCTACTTAACCTGGATCTCTTCCTTTAATCGCTATTCTCTATTCTTCATGTCTCTCATTGACTTTCTCTGGGCTTTCTCCCACTAACACAACATTATCTATAAACTAAAAAAGATTACAGGTAAGGGCTAAACGCTGAATCATGGTGGACACCTCTAATCTTACACAAAAGCCGACTTTTACGACCAACGGTTTTTTTTCTTTAAATTATAACCTTTTAAATTTATGTTCTGTATTTGAGTATCACAATTAAGTGTTTATTATTTGTGCCAGTAATAGTGATAATTCGATTTTTAAGAATAATTACTATCTTACTTTTGTTCCAACAATGTTTTGATAGACATTCAATAATAGCATTGATAAAGTGTTATCTTTATGTTGCCAACACTTGAACACACGCTTATAACTTTTGTAAACTTGAATAAGAAGAAGTTCATTTTTGGAGCGGTTATTAGTTTTAGCATATTCTGATTTCATTCTCCTTAATATTTGAACACTAAGGAACAGTGCTTCTTTTGAAATACCTTCTCGTTCGTTATCACGTAAATATTTCCTAAAAACCATAATTCATTATTACTTGCAATATTATAATTATTTAAAAATTAAAATTTTTACTAGGAAATATGTTAAACAAAAATGTTTGTATAAATATTTATATTTCATCACATACTTATCAAGATCAGGTATGTATTTCAACTGAATAGCCAAATCAAGTAGCATTTTGTGGTCACCAGTTTCTTTAAGAAAATCTAATAATAGATGTATACAGCGACTCATGTGGTAAGCAAATGAACCAGGGCGGTCTATTTCACTAACTGGTATCCTCCAAACACCCTAAGTTAGAACCACATAAGTAAAATTGTCTAGAAAATAAATAGAAAAATCATTTAATTACGTGGAAAAAGTTATTAGGCCTTTGTCCAACAAATAACCCTCGTTCACCAAAAATTAAATCTTTGAATTTATTAAAATCTTTATGAGATGGTGAACGGAAATAAAAATGGGCCAACCGATAATACGATTTGTAATGTTGAGGAAATCTTTTGATGCAATCTTCTAAAGCTTCTAGGCACCTTTGAATTAATGTCCATCGAACTATGAAAATACAATTATAAGGCTATCATTTTTGCGAAATTAATAAATATATATTTGTGTAAACTTACGGTTGATTGTGTCTTGAATAGCTGAATCTAACTTCATTTTTTTTACCGGCATGTTTGAATTGTCCTTGAGCATATATTTTAAAATAAACATACAATTTAATATTTTATCAGCAATACAATTAATACTTACATTAGAAGTTTTGGTAATAAATTCACGTTGATAACTCACTTCGGAATTATCAACATCTTTTTCAGATGTCATCACATGATTGATGATATTATTTAAAGTCTGTTTTACTGTTAAGTTTATATCCTAGAAAAGAAATAATTTAAGATTTACAACTTGAGCAATAAATCAAAATATTTGAAAATAAATGTATTATTAATTACTATATAATAATAAATTAGACTCAATTTAATTTTCTTGAAAAACCTCTATAAATAACAAAAATATATAGTTGGACTAATTTATATTATATAACTATTTATAATACTAATTTATGTATAACTTCTTTAAAATGGTGCATTGGTAACAAAAAAAAAGATAAAATAGCTGAGTCTGGCTATTAATTTAAATTTTATAGCATACCTTTTTTATTACATCCTTACAATTAACCACATCAAGTGTGGACATGTTACTGGGTTTCCTACAAATATTAAACAAATAAATTTTGGTTAGTATTAATAGTCTTGACTAATATTAGATTCTGCAATGATGTGAAATGTATTAATTTTACAATGATGTGTTTTTTATTTTTTTTATATTTGTGTCTGTCACCACCTTTTGGGACAGAAAAAATTTTCAGCATCTTTTCTGGTTGGAAACTGAATCTAGTTAAAATTTTGAGGTGTCATAAGTAAAAAATTCCCATGTTTTCAAAAGCGCCAGGAAAAACAAATAAAAAATTAAAGAAAAACACGATTTTTATGCAAAACCTGATTTTGAAAAAAATTTATATTGTTTTTTAGTGTAACTATACTAGAATACATGAATTAAATAAAGTTTTACTGAATATTTATATGGGTAATTGCTACTAATTTCTATGCACCATAAACTGTTTGAAATATAGCGACTCTTTTATAAGCAACCAATTTTAAGAAAATTTCAACTTTTATTAATTTTTAAAAAATTATTGAAAATAAAAAATCGATAGTAAAAAGAATTGAAAATCTAATACAACATTCCTTATAAGTTGATGTTGGTGGAAATTAAAAAATAAAATTAAACCACAATAATTTTTTATGAGTGTCTGAAGTTAAAATGTTGACAAAATTTATCAAAATCACGAAAATTGGAAAATTATTTCTACTTAGAAATTCATAAAGATTTTTCTATTTATATCTAAGATTTTAAAATTTAATGAAAGATTCCTTTAAGGTTTTCCTACATTTACCAAAAAAAAATGTGAGTGTATAATTGCAATAAAAATACAAAAAAATACAAAAATTCATTATATTATTAAAAATATTAATTATTATTACATTTATTTACCTAGCTAAATCAAACATATCAAAATCAAACAAATACATATCAAACCATCTTTTTTGTTGTTTCATTTAGCAAAGTTAATAAATATAATAATAATTAATATTTTTAATAATATATTATAGATTATCGGAAGTCACGCTTGTTGGCGAGTACACAAAAATGAAAAAAAAAATTATATTTTTTACACACAATGACATTTACAAATGTTTTTTTTTTTTTTTAGCAAAATAAAATGTAACCTATTGTAGAGTGTAGTACTAATAGTAAAATTAATTATTTTAATCATAATAATATCATCAAATATACTTAGTAATATTATTAGCTGTCTTCGCTCAAAATCGTTTTTTGTATACAATGATTTTATATCATTGATTCAAAATCTAGCACATACATTATAGTGTATCTCACACCTAATGTACAGCAGAGCGTTACCCACTAACCCACTTTTATAGTAATCTTACTTATTTTTATCAGCAATAGGGGACATATCAGATATTTCATCTAATGCTATTTTAATTTTACTATATAATTCTTCATTTAATGATTGGTTATCATGTTTTTCTAACAACTTTAACGCTCCAGCGTGGATTCTGTAATAAATCTGAAATCAAAATTAATTTGCTTATGTTATTAAAAATATTACAGATACATTAATGATCAGATGAAACATTCTATATTATTTAAATTTCTTCAATTAATGTAGATAGCAGGGCCGTATTAAGGGACAATGTACGGAGAGCAGACATACATATGACACCCCTAATTCAGTTACTCAGTTTTTACAAGTAAATAATAAAAAAAAAAACATACATTTTACAATTTCATTTTACTTATACAAAAAAACTAAATGCTTACTCATCTGTCATCTAGTATTGCTACACTAGGGTTGACGGTTTTTTGACAGTTTTTGTTCAAATAAAGCTGCAATGGTACACCGTATTACCGGTACATACCGTGTACCGTAATAACAGTACATATCGTGATAACGTTAGTGGTGGTTTTTTGGTACACCTAATCTAATACCGCAATACTGGTTTCCGATTTTAATACCGCCAACCCTATGTTACACATATTATCTTTACAATACATATCTAAATTCTAAATATTATATAAATACATGAACCAAACCAAGGACTAAGACATATTGGACTGGTAACGATTACCTATCAGTGACTCTCAAATGTTCGGAAAGCCGCAGTAAGGCACAACTAAGGCCTAAAAACCTAAAAGCGACATCTTAGTATCTTACATGTGTTATATAAAACACAATGATAATAATAATTATATTAATTATATTAACTATCCCCATTTACAATATCAGTTGCTAGGAGCGCTTTACAATCATTGAACTATATAGTTATATATAACTTATATAGTTCAATGTTTACAACTACATGAACTTTACGGTGGCCTATTAAGATGGATGAGTGGAGGACGGAGATGTCGAAATATCGTTCGTCAACTGGTAAATGTACCCCCCCCCCCCCCGATTGTTTTCGGTCAAGTAGGACATTTTCGCCCCGATATATTTTTTACGCGGACATATCCCCACATTTTTTTTTAAAAACTAACAATATTAAATTTAATAATACAATATTATTTATAATTTACTATGAAATTATTTGAAAAATGTCAAATAACAATTATTGGCGAATGAAATTGATAAGATGTAACGGGGCACGGACTGTAAGATATATAGGACTGGACACGAGATGAATATTGTGGTTACGAAATGTTGTACAACAGGCGGAGTTTGTGAGGATATTTTATTTTACTAGCGCCGTCTTAGTGGATACTTATGGAACTAGAAATTTGTATGATGTGTTATAGTTCCATAAGTATCCACTAAGACGGCGCTAGTAATGCTAAAAGGAAAATATATTCCCGAACACCGCCTGTTGTACTACATTCCGTGGTCAACCGCCCACGCCCCACACCCTACAACCATGTCCTGTATAATATCTTAGTCCGTGCGTTAGTGTTCCTATCAATGATTTTTCATGGTGGAATTATTTCATTAGCTTATCTTCTACCAAATACCAGTGGTATCCCATAGATAATAAAGATATTTTATTACCAACGTAAATAATACGTATATAAATAATATAATTTAGAAAAATATTATTCAACTAAGTACCTGACACCTGATACTTGTATAATAAAACATAATTCTTTACCTCGAGCACTTCAATTGAATAATATTGAGGAGTAGTGTATATAATATGCTCTGGAAACTCAGCTCCATAGGAGTTTAAATACTGAGCAGCTTTTAAATAATGATCCATAAATACGGTTGAGTTATCATCATTTTTCTCAGTTATTTTCCCGAGAACATAATGATGCATCCACCGTTCATCCTGGGAATCGCAATCAGTGTATTCCCAAACCTAATGATATATAATACCATAATTTATATTAAAAAATAATAAATAAATATATCTAAGTTAAAATTAGTAAAAGTTACATTATTGGCAGTTTCAAAACATTTTCTGGCGATTTTGATCATTTTTTCTTTTTCTTCTTCAAGCTCTCCAAACATTTGTAAGCTCATATTAGAGGTTTCCTGTATAGATATGCCATAAAAGTAATAATAATAAACTTATTGTTATACTTAAGATTCAAATTTACTTTTGTTTATCAAAAACTTTACTTTATATTTAAATTTATTTACTGCATGTATATGTATTGGTTACAAAAAATTAAATATTATTATTATTACTTTAATGTTTTAAAAGTTTAACAGAATAGAATAAGAATATAAAAGTGGAAAAATAATAACAATACATTTTTATTTACTATTCATACTACATATTTTTAATATTTATTACTTCTAAGAAGACAATTTATACAATGATAATTATTATATTAAAAGGGGGCTACACTTGCATGCGTTCTCTCTGTTTCACAAACGCATAACACAGCAAATTATACACTCAGCAGATCACGTTTAGCTCTGTTAGTTTAAAAAGTACAGTGAATTGACTTGTCATATATCACTCGGCATGTAGAATAATATAGAGTTATTTGGTTGGAGTAAAGTAAGTTGATCTGATAGTATGTTTAAATGTTTTTTACAAATATATAATCTCCAAATTTTCTACGGGTCTTGCCTTACCCACCAACACAATTAATGATGATGATTGATGATGATAAGAACAATTTTTACTATTATATTTATAATTAATAAAATATAGGCTACTTAATCTAAAAATAATCAACATAATAAATAAATTTAAATGCTCAAAAATATGCGAAATAAGTTTGTATATTTGTAATCTATATTTTATAAAATGTGGAATTCTGGTTGCACTAAAGAAATATCCAGTCATAAACATCTGAGCTCTACTAATTATGTATGATGAATCCTTGGTTTAAATCAATCAGTATCATATTTTTATACAACATTTTTGTGTTGTTTTTTTTTTTTTACAAGTAAATATTTAATTCTATTGTATTTATTTTGAGAGTATTTGATATAATTTTTATTTTTTAGTCTACAATTAATGCATTTTGCAACTTTTACATTATTGTAATTGTTCTAGTGTAAAAATCAAAAACCTGAGATTAATACTTTATGTAAAGATTGGTGACTAATTAAGTAATAAGTAATAATGCTTTTAGTTCACTCAAGACACTACTTGAACAGTCAATGTTGAATAAATTCTAGTCGTACTCTAACTTGTATAGATAATCATAAAATAAAGTAATGCAGTTTGATCAGTTAAAAGTACTAAAAACTATAAATAATTTAAATACACACCTGTTTTAATAAACGTGAACAAAAGGAATGAATACTATAGGTAAATGTCCCATATTCAATAAGAAGAGTTGTATTTTCAGGACTTATTTTAAGAGAGTGCTTATAGCACCGACCAGTCATATGAGCTCTTCTAATTATGTCAGCTTCATTTTTTATTGACTCACACTAAAAAAATATATTTTTATTACTATTTTTTTTAATTTGTTCACACAAATAATGAAAAAGACTTTGTATGGACTCGAACATCTCTCATATCTTCTTCTATAGAATTCTTATGTAATCACTATTTTTACTAATTAATACATTATTTATATCAACATAGATCAAGTGATTATTAAACAAGTTCAAAAATATTTTCATCTTAAAACAAATATCAGTAAATGTTGACTTACTGAATTTAATTTTGTCTCTATTTGACTCCCCCTAGCTAAGGCCATGGCAGCCCAAGAATCAAAACGATCTAAGTTATTGCAAAGATCAAGTAAATAATATCGAATAGCTTTACTCTGAAATATAGTATTATATTACTAACAATAGTTTTATTAATATTTATAAATTCTAAGAATTCTTAAATAAAATCTTAAGAATTTACCCAAGTCTTGTTTTTAAAATTAAAATCAGCCATTAAATAAAAAATATCTTTTACATCGTTAGGTAAAGGATTATCATTTATAGGCAACTGGTCTGTTTCCCCTTTAATGTACATCATTAAATTATCCATCAATCGATCTGGAATATAAAAATAAATGAATTATAATTTATTTACAGCAATGTATTCTTTATACATATCTTAATTAACTTTACTTGGTTTTATTTCTTCAGGTATGAGAGCTATGATTTTTTTAAGCATAGCTTCTGTATCAGAATTTACAGTAAATGTTTTTGATATACCATCGTAACTAGGTAATTCTTGGGGTTGATAAAAATGCATCAATTGTCTAGCTCGTGGCCATGTAAGTGCTAATCCCATGGAATGATGATCCTACATAAATAAAAATTATTATTATTATTATAACAAAAATAGTGTATAAACAAATATTGTTATTATTTTTTTTTTTAATTACCTGTACATGGCGTGGTCTATTACGTTTGATTAAATGTGTATACAAACAAAAAAATATTTGATCAACTTGATGCACTAATGATATGTTATACAAATCCGTATGAATGAAAGGTTCTATTTCTGATAATGTTAGAAATAGGAGAATACCATCTTCAAAACAACACCATGACCTCCTACACAAATTTTAATAAATAATATGTAAATTAAAATAGAACTATATTAGGATACACAGTAATTGAATACTTACTTTCCTAAATATTCATGACCCAGAAAGAGTAATGATAAAGACTGTGGGATATTAGTAGTTTGAGAAGAAAATGAATTATCAGTTTTAGATTCCTCACTGGAAATACAAAAGATTATCATAACATTAGTCATGCCTGTACAGATTACAATAAATATTAGTAAAGTAGAATAAACACATGATAAACAGGTGCTAAAGTTAAATAAGGAAAATATTGTAATTTAAAATTTTAGCAATTTAATAAGAATAAATACTGGTCAATGAATTGTATTACAAATAATCAATTAATTAGGGATATTACAAACTGTTCAATTTTCGAACCAAATCGAACAGAAAATTCCAAATAATTGAACCGAACCAAATACCTAATAGTTCGTTTCGATAATCGAACCAGAGAAATAAAAATAAATGTCAGTTCTATAAGGTTTCTATTAGGTATCACTAATCTAAAATCTTTAGTCATTGGTGGCGAAATAATAATTAAATATTAAAAATTAAATAAAATAATATCCAATTTTGACTTTTTTAATGTTCGGTTTGAGTTTGATAAAATATTTTAAGAGTTTGGTTTGGGTTCGATTAAAAGTGTGTAGGTTCGGATCTGTTCTGGTTCGTTAATTTAGAGAAAAGTTCGACTAGACCTTAAATATTGTGGTTTGTGAAATCTCTACAATTAATCAACAAATTACCAAAAAAAATGTTTCCACCCAAATAAAATAATAAAACATTGTCTGAATTAAAAACATCATAATAATTATAAAAGAAATATAAAACAATATAAATAATGCTCACAATAGTTAAGCATGAAAAAACTTACTATTTTACCAAATTATAAATTAACAACCACGGAGATACAGCATCAATTTCTGGATTTCCATCAGGAGTTTCTATCAGATATGATAGAAGATTAATGACCGATTGTATAAGTTTTGATTTAGATCCTTGTGACACATTATCAACTAATAAAACATCAAGTTAATAATAGAATCTTTTACTGACTGCAATTTTGCTACTTACAAACATCTAAGCCCTCTATTTTAATTGATTCTAACATAGCGTAAAATATATTATTAATAAATTTGGCCTGATTAGTTTTTTGGTTTTGATCACAATCTTCTATAAGACTTTTACGATGTTGTAAAATAGCTTCATACAAGCACGGCTCACACCATTTAAACAATTCCTTTAAAAATAAAAATTATGAAATAAAACATTAAAATTGAATTACATATCCTTACATAGTAGTTTTTTAACTCTAAAAATGAATTTAGCATAAATATGTATTGGTTCATTCGTGTCATAGTTTGATAACTTGGTATCTCCATGTAAGTAGATTGAGGTTTTAAAGTTTCTTTTAAAATATTCACAACACTTAGATATTCTTTTGACTCGTACAGACTCTTTACTGTACTTAATAAATTATTCCTGAAAATAAATATGTTTTAAAAATACATATATGAATAAAAATACATTGATAACAAACCTTTTTAATGTGATAATAAGTTTCTCTGCTATCTTTGAATTTATTCGGTAAAAATATTCTAAATTAGGTAAGACAATTTCATAGTCATCCAGACCGCAGATGAAATTCAGTAACTAAAAACATAATGTTAATATGTTATTAGTTTAAACTAGAATCAATTCAATATTTTAATGTACATAATACATCAATTTATATTATTAAACTGATTTTAAAATATTTTAGTTTTTAAAAACAAATTTTTATTTACAAAAATTGTTAAGTATAAAATTATTTATAAGATTATGTGATTAATAATAATATTATAGATCAAGTGTACTAGAATAGTATACATAACTAATGACTGTATTAAGTTTAAATATAAAACATTAAACATATATTAACATTTAAATTATAATATGGCAATTAATTGATAAAATAGCATTATCAATGTTTATAATAGTTCTTAATTTATTGTATTCTTTAAGATTTACCACAATTAAATAAATTGACTTATTTTGGCATAATATTGCACTATGACCAAAAGAATCCTCTAAGCTTTTTTTACCAAATTTATTTTAAATATTTTAAGTATTAACAAAAAAATGTAAGGCATTTAAATTTTAGTTTCACTATTGGTTTTAATTCAAAAATAAACAACAAACAAAAATATTAAACACTTCGAACATAATATTTTCAAATAGATAAATCATTGTGGTAACTGAGTAAATTGCATAAGTATTTCATACGTGATTGTGTGGTTAAATAATAATTTGCAGAAAAAAAAATGTATTAGTGATCCATTGATTCATGACAATATATCTCAACTCTATAAACTATTATGTTAATCTATGATAGGAGTTTACAATAAATAAAAACGATATAGTTAAAAATAAATTAAATTAGGTAAAATAAAAACTTAGATTACCATATCAAGTACATCACATGTAAGCCTGGTTTCTTTATCTTGCAAGTTAAATAATGCTCTTAACCATAGAAATCGAACATTTATCACCATATGATTATCTTTCAAATCTAATATTGAGAGTGCATCATTTATACTTCCGATCCACAGAGAACAAAAGTCTCCTCCAATAATACTATAAAATGTATTTACATAAGATTATTTAATAATAAATATCAATAAAAATGAAAATTAGTATTTTAATGCATTAATACCTTCCTTCTAATGGCTTATGGCTAATTTTTAATTGAAAATAAAGATCACATAATAGTTCTCCATAAGTAAGAATAGATAAAATTTCATCTTTCACTTGTTTAATTTGTTCATCGTTTAAGGAATCAAAATTTGAGTCAGAAATGTAAGTAATATGTTGTTTTTCTGTATGAATCCTAATTAAATCAAACATCAAATGTAAGTTTTGAAAAGTTATCAAATAAATTTATATTACTTACCATACTCTTTTGAAAACATCTATATATACTTGAACCATGTTGGTAGGCCAGGTATTTGTCCATTTGTTTGCAATAATAATTAAATAAATTTCTAGTAAATCAGAAATTGACTTTTTGTTATTAAGTTCAATAAAATTATTCAAATCATTTGCTTCATGGTCAGACCCAAAATAATTTTCATCATGTATTTGTCTAATAATAATGCAAACATAAAATTATTTAAAATTGTATTAAATATTTTGTTTATTATACATACTTAAGGCGTTCATCTTCAGAAATATTATTTTTCAGTAAATTTTCAATAAGACCATCACTCAATATATCTGAGAATTCAAATAACCTATACAAATCCATTGTATCCATAGAATCGTCCGACCATTTAATTGGATTACATTTATTACTGCCATCTTTGCCAAGCCTTAAACCAATACAATAATATAAACATAATCATACAATAATTATTAAGTAATAATTTATTTAGTTTAGAAATAAACTATACAATAAATGTTGGGGCATAGTATTCCATATTGATTTGACCAGTGTTGACTCATTAACTTTTGAATTTGCTTTATTTCGAGCTGATCTCCGACTTAATTTTAGTTGATCTGCAAGTGAAGGTGAACTTTTTCTTCGTTTGGTTGCAGGAACTATCATTAACAATAACAAAATAATAAAAAAAAAATTAATGAATTATTAAATATTTATAATAAAAATGTATTTTTATACCATCAATTTTAAATGAGAGCTTTTCAAAATCGTTTTCAATACATTTTTCATCTACCATAATTTGGCTTTCTGTTGTGTTTAGAGTTAACGATTCGTGATTGAATTGTATAGGTTCGTAAAGAAACTGAAAAGTTTTAGTAACAATTTGAAATATAAATTTATATTAATATTTAATTACACAGTTTATGTAACTCAGATTTTATTGATATACTAAATAATAAAAAAAGAATAACAGCCTAGTATAAGTATAAGTACACGTAAATTTAAGTGTTTTGTGCTTAGTTTTATCAAAACAAAAAAATATTTATTTTATATTTATAAAATTGTTATCTAAAACAAGAATACTGAGCCCCACTGAAACACTTGTAATATATAATCGAACGTTTTGTACTATAATTTGTATTGTTGTGTATCTTTGCCTTAAGATTACTATCTGAAGTTTGTATTGGGCTTAAACCGTTTCATAATATTAAAAAATAAATATACATTTTTAATTGCTGAGGAATTTTGTTTTAAATCTTTAAGCTTTTTGAAGTTTTTATCAAAATTTATAAAAAAAAAAATTAAGATGGTTTTAACGTTTTGGTAACCAAGGTTATCAAAATATTATATTAATAATATTATAATTTTAATACATTTTTAAATTATTTTTTGTTTTTTCCTAATTATTTTAAAAACTAATAAGCACTTAAAACTTTATTATCTTCTATAGTACCAACTAGATCTGATTTTCTACCAGAAACATCTATCAAAGTTGATGATCAGATCATTTTTTTACTAGAAAAAGTATGGAACAAAAATCATCATTGTGAAATGAATACATTCATCATATCATTCAGAATTCAAAATCATTAAAATATTATTTTTATGTTCTATGTTCAAGATTTATGAAAAAATTCCATCAACTATTTTTAAAAATGAAATAAATTATACTATTTACATTATTTTATCTAGTTTCAAAAGAAAAATTATTTTTGAACAGTATGTTTGTATATTTGATGTATTAGATAGTAAGTTACTAGTAATAATTTTATTTCGGTAACATATTGTTATTATTTTAATTAATGGTTAAAAATCAAAAAATTTCCAAAATGACTTAAAAGTTTTAAATTAATTAAAATTTTAAAATATACAAAGATCAAAATATAAAAACGTATATACAGCCATTAATTTTTGTAACATATTTTCTTTTTACAGAAATCAAATTTTAAAGAAAAAAGATGAAAATGGACAGCCCTATAGTTATTAATCATTCACTTTTAACAATAATCAATAATTATCCATGTTCAGTGTTAATAAAACTTTATACATTTTTTTTTAGAAACAATTTAATAGTAACAAAATAGCAACCAACATTTTTTAAATTAAACAATCTATAATTACCGAATGTTCATAGCTTTCAAACATATGATCATAAATTGTTAATAACCATTTTCCGAGTTGATCCCAACTCTTAAACACTAAAGGCCTGGCAAACAATTTTGGATTGCATTCCATATTTTTGGACGATTTTCCTGAACATAAAGTAGGATCATTTTTCTTGATATCTTCAATTTCATCTAATATCTTTTGCTGTATATTGGTATCTATTATTTCATCACACGTAATATCTAAACCACTAAAAGTATATACAAAATTTTAATTTAAAATTATACATTGTTTTAAATTGAAATATTTTTATATATATTTTATTTACCCGTCTGAGCAATAACTTTTAAAATATGATATTAATGATGGAAATTTTTTGAATATAATTTCTTTGATAAAATGTCCTTTTAAGTATCCAGAATCTAAATTAAGTGATATGCTTATATGATATAAACAACACACATATTCGTTGCTTGCATATAATAAAGTAATCAATTTATCCAAAGTAGGCCAATGATTAGGATTACATTTAATACCCTGAAAAATAATGTTTTATTACTTAATTGCTATTGTTGTAAGCAAGACCTATAACAGTAAATTACGCTGTACTAAAGTACAAATTATTCAAACTAAATTACTATACCATGATATAAAACAATTAGGTCACCACAAAAACTTTATTAAATATTAGTCATTATATGTATAAACTATATATATATACGTATATAATTCTGCTGTGAATCTTTGGTGATTGTATATTTGTATAACTTCCGAATTACTTGAAAGATTGAGGTGAAAGTTATATTAATAGATTCCTTGATACGCGAGAAAGTATAGCTTATTAAAGCTTTTTTTTCAACCCTTATATTGAGCTATAGATGACTCACATTTAAATTTTGTTTCAACTGACGAAAATTGAATATTTAGACAAATCAAGGAAGGTTCAGATAATAGATTATACCAATTATCTTAATGTAACTTACAAGATATTAATAAAATTAAAATCATAACCACATATTAGTTTATTTGTCATTGCAATTGGTTCATGTAAGAAAACAAAGTTACTTATTACTATTCGCTGCAGGTTCCATTTATACCCAGGAAACACTGGTAATATAACTAGTATAGCACATATTTTTAGGTTAGGTTAGCCGGGCCAAGTAGTGCCCAACAAAAAAAAAAATATACTATATTTAGTATAGACCAGTTCTCAAGTGGTGCCTCATATTAACTTGATGTGTATTGCCAACATTTTTATTTATTTATATTATACTTGGACAAAGTATAAATATATGACATTATGGTAAAAACCACATATAAGAAAAACACGACCAAGTACTGGTCGGTATCAAGCATTTGTAATCATACACATTTGAGGTACATATGTTATTTACCCAAGATTTTTGTGCGATGTTCCCAGTTTTCCATAACTATAATACTATATATATTTGATTTAGTTATGGCACATTATATATCTACGCAGTTAGATATATAATAATAAATAAATATATATATTTGACAAGACTTTTAGGCTTTATTTGGCAAAAATATATAAAAACTAAACATATTAAAAATACTAAAATGCATTGAGTACTGTTATTGTCAGGATAATGAACATTGTTTTAAATTTGATCTATTGGTGAAATACCTTTGGCAAAAAGACAAAAATAAAATTTATTAAAAAAGAGTATTTAACACGTTGACTGCATATGTCTTTTTGCAGTTTTCCCCCAGTGCGTATGATAAAAGTAAAAACAAAAGTAATTAAAAAAAAAATATAAAGAAACTGCTCATAACGATGTATGTATACATATTTAAGAACATGCGTTTAATCCACGCTAAATAATAATAAAATAACATTCAGCCACGCGTAGGGAATTTTAAACCATTTATTTTAAATGTATATTAGACGCCATATGGCGTCAAACGCGTTGCTGAATGATACTTATGACGCCAATTGGCGTCAGTACGCAGTGAACGTGTTAAGTATACAGTATATTATACATCTATACTTATTACTTGTCACACATTTTAGTGTTTTACATATGTATAGTAGGTTCATAGTTTTACTGTAATAACAAATAAATGTGCAATGGAGAATTTTCAATATCTATAATACCAGATATTGTTATATCGATATAACGATTCTTGGTGTAAATAATTAATAAAGGAAAATGTAGTTATTGAATATTTAAAAAAAAAAAAACAGGAAAATCGCACGGAATATCAATTTTTACAATCAATTGCTTGTTAAAAAAACATGAAATTGTGTACCCTGAAAGGTAAATTATACTCAATTGTGCCTAATTGCTTACATTTGGTATATACCTCGTACATGGCCATATTGTTAAGATCATAGTAATCAAGTGGTTTTGTTATTTATTAGTTACCTCTAAAAATGCTGATATTGCTTGATCAGTTTGATATAATTTGCTATGAGTAAGTCCTATTCGGTACCATAGATTCAAGTCAGTATTGTCCATTTTTAAAGCCTAAAAAATAAATAATATATTTATGTTATCAATATTATTACATTTAAAATACATTATTCAATAAAATTCACCTCTTGATAGTGAATTAAGGCTTCATGGTAGTTGGATTTTTTCAACAAAATATTTCCTAAATTAGTAAGACAGCAATATTTTAAATGAGCTAATAAAGATTGAGATTTATCTTTTTGGTTCAATGTGGTATTTAGCTAAAAAAAAAAAAAAAAAGAATGTAATTAATAATAGTTAGAAAGTATTTAAAACTTAAAGATGGACATTTCTTAAACATACAGATTTAATAATTTCTTTTTCCAATAAATTTGATAGTTGTTTCTCTGCTTCATCTAATTGATCTCTTGCTAAACACTGTAATGCTTGGCTATATTGTAGTTCTGCTTTCGCTTCCTGAAATAATATATTTTATTAATTGTAATGAAATGAAAAATTATTTTATACAATTAATTTAAACAATGCTAAAGTAAAAAATAAATATTATAATTTAAACTGATAATTATTACTATAACTTTAATGCAGTGGCGCCAATTATCCAGCTTATTTATGACATATGAGGTGTGTAGTAAAATTGGTTTTGGGTGATTTTGAAACTACACGTTTCATATGTCATACTAGATTTTTTAGATAAGGGCTCACCGTAAGGTACTGCATCCAGCATTTAATTTAAAACGTAAAAATAAATTAAACTGATTTGCATCTGATGATTACATTTTAAAATTTGGGAGGGTGGGTGGGGATGTCTCTTGATGTACGATGTCATGGTCTATTTTAAACAATTCGGTGCCACTGCTTAAATATTATGTATAAGTATGATTGGAAATCTATGGAATATAAGTAGTACGCATATCATTGAACCAAAACATTTTAGTTTTAGGTGATACTTAAAGTAAAATATGAGGAAGATTTTACAAATTTATTTTAGATCATGACAAAGTAAAATAAAAAAGAAGAATCTGTAATTGGGAAGGTATAATATGATAGTAATTTAATTCTCGATTATATAAATAAAAGATTAACTATAAATATAAAACCACTCTTCAACAAAAATAAAAATATAATGTTAAATATTGTAATTTATTCTATAGCACGGTAGTATTAATAATTTCAATATCAAATTAATTTTGATAAGAATAACTGCAAGTTCTTTTGTTGGATACATATCATGTAGTAATAAAACATTCAATTGTTAGAACATAAAACTATTTGGTAAATTTTCTGAGGAAGTAATTGAAAAACACCTACCAACGCTTCTTTAGTAATTTTAACCGGCACATCATCGTTGTTGCTACTTTCATCGGTGGAACAATCGTTTAACGCCCTGAGCTTTGTTGGTAACATAATATAGTCTAGGAGATAAAACCACTGAAGCACATCAACGTATTCGAAGTTCGGGCTGAATGGCTGACCGTAGACAACGTCTCTGTGAGCCGATTTCGATCAGTCGAGGCAAGCAAGGCAGGAACTGTGTTTCGAACACATTTCATATAAGTACGGAATTATAATTGCATTTAAACATAAATATAACAATATTGAGCGATGTGTTTAATTACAACAAAAACCGAATGCCTGTGGCGGCTAATTAAACAATAATAAGTAATAACTCAGCCTCAGTCAAAAATTAGTGACTGATAACGAATTATGTTAAACAACGAACAGCTTCCACGGTAAATCGGCTGCGTTCGTCGGCTATCTGAGTATTATTGTTCTATGATCTGGGTGGGGTAAAAAAAAAAATATTCTAATTATTGAACGCAGCCGCTGGTTTTGTTAGGGTATGTAAACACCACAAAAAATGGACTGGAAACGAGCAGCTTACCGGTGGCGTCGAAAGCATAGATAAGTATATTAAAGCTCGAACGTATGTAAAAGAAGCATATGCGGGGGATCGCTACCATAATCGAGAGTTTACAGCGCCATCTGTATAAAACACAGACTGAGATACAAAATGTGACGCTAAACAAAACCATTGATAGCGCTTTAAACAATCGATCACTGCCATAGAGATATAATCATAGAACAGTGATATAATATATTATAGTGCATTCGATTATGAGTGTGGATGATAACAGGGCCGTCCC